CAAACTCATCCCTCCCCCAGGCAGCCACTGCAGTTTCTGGGGTTAATAACAGGTATTGGTGTTTAGTCTCTGCTCACAAAAGCTTTGATGTATCCAGAAAGCAGATTTAACCRCGTGGCTGCTTTTTGCAAGCACTCCTCTCTCCTCCGGTTTTCCTGGAATTCCTTCTCTGGCAATCTTCTCCACATCTGCCCCTGCATGTGCACCTTAGGTGTGTGGCTGCCTTCTTTTCTGGGCTTTGTGCTTGACCCTGTCTGATCCACTCAGCTCTCTAATTACTCTGCCCTGGTCCCCTTACATCTCCACTCCTCCTACAGCCTTCTCCTGATGATTCTGATCCATTTTAGTGTTATATAATGGATCTTTTCCTGCCCTTGTCCTTGTGCTGCAGCTAGGAGCTGGCTCTGGAAGCAGGCTGTGCTTTGCCACTTGAAGCTGCTGTTCCAGGGTTTTGCAAAYTGGTAAAGCTCAGCAGTGCTTGTAWCTTACTACTGCTTTAAATTTTGTCTCTTGAGTGACAAAGTTAGAATATAATTGAAAGATTGACTCAATGAACTGTGTACAACAGCCAGGAGAGTGATAGGAATGTGATAAGGAACTGAAATGCTTTGTTTGGAACAGCAGAGGTTTTGACTATTAACAGACTCAAATGAATATTTATGTTCTTCTAGTTTAAAAATGTATTGTAAGGAGCCCAGAAAGATRGGAGGGGTGTGCTGGTCAGTACAGATCAAAATAGATGAGATAATTTATATTTTAAAGACTAGCGTATCCCCTACTAATCTACCTCACTGAATGATTTAGATATTTTAGATTTAAGACTGGGCTTTGGGCTTATTCCAGAACATCAATCTCACCAGTCTCCTGTTGGTTTTGCTCTTGAAAAGGCAGCTGGCCAGAACATGGTACTGGAAGTMGCTGTTGAGCTCTGTTGCCTGGGTTAGGGTTAATCACATCAGCTTGCTTCCTTTGGTGCTGAATCATCAAGGGGAAAAAATGTAAGCTTGGCAGTAAAATATGTATGTGCTGCATTGTAGATTTTCAAGCTTGCCTTTGCAAATTAAAAACAGAAGGTTATTTTATAGAGAGAGCTCAGAAAGCTTGAAATGGCTTTTCTCCTCTTCAATAAGTTATTTTGTCCATAATCTTAAATAGAAGTCGTGCTACTGAAAGGACTTTTGTAGCTCTGGTGGAATAGCTAGAGTACAAAAATAAACAAAAAATTATATATAAAATAGCTAGAGTACAAAAATAGAAAATTGAAAAGGCTGTTCTGAGTCAGGAAGAAAAAGGTCTCTCTGTACCAACCTGAAGGAGGATGGGACTTTGAGAAGAGGTGACACTCTCTTCCTTTGAACCCGGGGAAGCCTTTGCACAGAAAAAATTTGAAAATTTTTACTCTTTCAAACACAGAAGAAGTGACTGAAGTCTGCCAAGTTAATTGGGAGACCTGAGAAATTCTTTGTCTATCATTGCCTGTCATTTCTCTTATGAAAATGAGGAAGGGAAGGGCTGAACTCTTCTGCCATTGCCAAATCTTAGAGAAAACGAGCTGTCATGGGTGGGGATGGGGATTTTCTGGTGATTTCTGTWTGCAGAGACCCAGGCCAGTGGGTGCAAGGCTGCAGGAACAGAGCGTTCAGCTGCAGCCTGGAGCTGGYCTTGGAGAGTTTCCTGCTGCTGGCTCCCAGGCAGGCAGGCTCTGGCCCAGCTACGTGTAACCATGCTTATTTATGTAAACTCACATCCTGGAGAATTATCTTTGGCCCTTGCAGAGCTGCACCCTCCAAAACATATGTAAGCATTGGCGTTAGGAARCATTGGGGAAGTCAGAACACCACATCAGCACACTTACACATTGCAGGCTGGCTGTAAAGCAAAGCTTGGTATAAACCAGACCTTTTCTCTCTTGYTTTCATGTACATTGACTGCTGATAACGTGAAATGTCCAGCTGTTTCACTCCTGGGTGTTTAGAAGAGCTGTGGCTGATCTGTGGGTCATAGGGGATTRCATGATGGGGAGAGGTGGACTCGTACAGCAGAAAAATTTGCATAGATATCTCAGTAATGAGAGACAGAGAGAAAATACCATGGTATGCTGCAAAAGTGTGAGACTTAGTTTAGATCTAGATTTAGGTTTAGATCCAAGTTTARAATCCAAGAGCAAGGAGCCACTTTTGCTAATCAGTGAGTGAGTTTTGGTAGCTTTGAGTTTTTAAGGGACATTCTGCATCCCAAGCAGTGGAAAGGCTTTTCCCACTAAGCAGGTGTTTGCAGAATCATCCCTGCGTACTACATACTGAGATGAATAAATTCAGTTGCCATGGAAAAGATTTATATGGATTTGGTTCCTCATCTAAAAAATAAATTTATCCTCTTCACTCAGCATCTTTGTTAAAGAGTAATAGCCATGTTGCTTAATAGATTTTCTCTCCCTGTATAAATATGGTAAAAATATTGAAGTGTAGACAACAGGTAGCACAGTCTGAAAGCAGAGCTTTCCCTCCTGTGCTAGCATCCCCTCCTCACAAAAGGAGCCAGTCCTCAGGTGAACCCAGGGACAGCACATGACTTAGCGGAATTTCGCTTCCATCAGCTGTCAATCTCTTCCCTGTGCCTCTCCTTCTGGCCAGCTRGGCAGAAAGAGGCATCTGATGAAAGCAGCAGACCTGCTGCCTTTCCCCTTTGGTTTCCTCTGCTTGCTCCAGTGTGTTGCCAGAACACTTTTTGCTCCAGCTGAATAAGCAGAATTCTGAGCTGCCATTGAGAGCAGGGCAATGCCACATCTCAAWCTGACTGATGGCCATAGCATTCCTGCACAGCAAAAGCAGCTGGGGAGACTGTGTGTGCCTCAGTTGTGTTATGTGATCATTGCATGCAGGACAGATAAACAAAAAGGACAYTTGTAGCTTGGTCCTGGGGCCAGCAGAGGGGAAATTCCTCTTACCTTTGAGGAAAAGTGAGCAGTTGTAGAAAGACCATTCATAATCCCCAAATGCCCCATGAAGAATTATGCCCAGCACACACAGCCCTCTAGTCTAAAATAATAGCTGCAATATATTCATTTGCTGCTCAGAAGAGGGGAAAAAAAGGTGTCAAATATTTCTTATCCATCCCTCAAGGTAAAGAAGGGGATTAATTGCTAATGATCCTGGTGATAAACAGCTCTAATATCACTGCTTGGTGAGACGTGGCTAAACTCAAGCCAATCCTCTCCACACTACATTTTCCCCTTTGTAAGGAACATTTGGCTGGCTCCAGACTTGTCTCCAAGGTCTCTCAAATGTGGGTGTGATGGTGTTAGCATAAAAGAMTATCCAGATTCAGGAGGTAGTGACATCCAATTTTATCAGCAGGATTAATTGCTGGAGCTCTTACTAAAAAGAGATMATTTCTTTCTCTCTCCCAGCTAGCATTGTACAAAATGCTATTCCTTGATTATCCCCAGATGTGACACCACATGCAGTATCTGGCTGAGATGAAGCTTTTTTAGAAATGCCTTGACCCTAATAACTAACTCWCAGAGGGGGTTGTGCCTAGCTAGGGGAAACACTGAAATCCTACAATGGAAGGCACTGTTGGTGAACCAGGTATTATTTAATGCAATTAGCATAAGCTCTGAGCCAGGAAAGGAGTTTGTATGGATGTAATCTTTTTCTAGCTTGCTGCTTAACAGAACATGTTGGTGTTGGGAATGTTTCTGCTGGTTCTGATGCCTCATTTATTTTATGAGGTAATGTGGCTCAATTACAATTCATGATATAGAACCAGACTAATTTCCAATTAAATGTCCCCCTCCAAGATAAAATACCAGGGTTAATTTGGTTCTCATTACAATGACTTTATTTTGGCTAAAGRACGATCAACTCATTAGCAACACATGTGCATATGATTACATTTAAACAAATATGCCAGGAGTAGAAGTTTAAAGTCTCTTTAGCAGGAAAATAAAGAAAACATAATGAATTTGGTCTTGTGAGGACAAATACTCAATTTACCGGGCAAGAAGCTAAGTGCCTGTTCTCCTAGTGAGCAGAACAGACCCCCAGTACATCACAGGGAAAGTGAACCTGGTGGTGCTCAAGCTCGTAGACAGTGATTTAACTCCTAGGAGGCACTGGTGGAACCAATTCCAGTACCTTGGCAGAAATATATCTCTTTAATTGTCARTATTGGTGAAGAACAATGTAGAATCATTGGCTACAGGAGAAAAAGAAGCATTTGCTGGGCCATCAATGTTTCTTCAAAATTAAGAAAGCATCATTTGTTTGACCTCACAAACAGAAAAATAGTAGAGATCACTTTGCTCTGCGCAAATGCAGGGTGAAGGAATGCACCAGGKAATGCAGAGAGATATTTAAGATAAAGAGCAATGCTGGCAATGATGTGGATATAAATTGGCCACAAACACTTTTAAACAGGAAATTAAAAGGCAATTTCTGGCCATTAGAAGAGTGATCTTTTGGRAAAGCTTTCCTGTGAGAGTAGTTGGGGAGGGAAATAATTAGTTTTAAGACATTATTAAAAGTGTGATAAAATGCAATTGCTAGAGATACRATGAAGTAGGATGAGGAAGAAATAAAGTCCCCTCATGTCTACACAGGCTGAATTGCTTTACAAGAAAGATATGCACAACATTATATGGGACAAATAGATCTTTTAAGGGAGATTGATAAAAAACACTTTGATACGTACAGGAGGACTCATACAGACTTTTAGACTGAACCACATTTAAAAAGACCTAGGTTTTGATTAGTGAATTTTCCGAGGCACCAACTGCGTGTGGATGAGGGTGAATGGGGTTCCTTGACTCAGCTTTCATCCTGTGATTCTGTAATATGTGCCTGCTGGGAATATGTGCTTGTCCCTGGTATGGCTGGACCTCAGGACACAGAGCTGCAGCAGCCTCTGTGGGGATACCAGATCAGACAATTCCTAACACAAGGGAGGAACCATGTATACCCACCTGTAATGATTTTTCCTTTTCTCTTTATTTACAGGTCAATGCCAAACTGTGCAGAAAGGTATGAAGAGTCTTTCCTCGCTGTTCTCGGAGAACCTCAAAACCTTRAGTATTTCTTCATGGTTTCCTGACAAGTATTGTCATGTTGGTGCTGYAGTGGATTTTGTTACAAGAGAAATGTGCTCTTTCACACAGTGTAGTATTTTGCTGCTGTTACAGCAGGATTTRCTACCAATCAGAGCAAAAGGATGCTCAAATGTAGACCCATTACTGTATTAGCCAGTACTTTGATGAAGAGATGTTTTTCTATTACTCCTTTTCACCTCTAAGTGGGTTGAAGGTATTACCAACACTTATCCTTCCTAAGGCCTCCTAACCTGATTTCTTAAAATGTATTGAGATTATGAGAATATACAGTGATCACATTTATGGGTCTGCTCGCTCATGAGTTAAGTCCTAGAATGACTTTTCATCTCTTTGGGCAATTTCAATCAAACTTCTGAGAGGGTCTGTAGTTTCAGAGATATTAAACTCTAAAAATTTTRTGGGACTAAGCAGAGAAAAGAGATAACTTAGTGGAATGTTCCCCACTAAAGAAAAAGCCTATGGTGGTATGATCTATCACCTATTCAGAGAATCCATCTGCAAAGGCAAGGACAGGGGAGAGAGTGATATCACAAACACACTTTTATTCAGGAATCTGAGTTTTACCCACCAGCAAATTGCCACCTTTTTCTTAGGAATTCTCTGGTGTTTAATAAGATCAAAGTATATCTCCAGACCAAGCATGCTTCTCATCCTCTTTTTATAAGGAGTTTTAGACATGCACTTCAGTTTTCAAGCTGTTTCCAGCCTAACTAAGAACTAAAAAAAGAAGTTCATGGAATGTGTTATTTGTTATGTTGTCTGAACTATTCAGAGAATGTCAGTGAAGAAAGTTATTATTCCTGTGTTCATCTCCTTTTCATAGCAAAATGYGTGGATATAGCCCTAAGTTCTTGCACTGATGTTGCCTATACTCAAATGGTGTATCCAAATTTTCTGGACCAGAAGTCTCGAGAAGTGATTGAGTACAGCTCTGAGTACCTGCTCATCAGTGTGCTGCACAACTTACTGCAGGGGGAATGCAACCCCGACCTGAGGCTCCTGGGGTGCTCAGTGCTGGCCCCACAGTGTGAAAAGGACAAAGCCATAAAGCCCTGCAGGCACGTCTGTGAAAACCTCAAAAAGAATTGCCTCCCTGCCTTTGATGCCATAGACATGGCTTGGCCCTATTTCCTGGACTGCGACCGCTTTTTCGCCGGGGAGGAGGAGGGGTGCTTCGACCCGCTGGCAAAGCTGCGAGGTGAGAGGACAACTCTGCTGGCACACCTTGGCTCCTCTCACTCAGCCTGACACCTCTGGGGCACAAAACCCCTTTGTCATCTCAGCCTATTGTCTTCACGGACACCGTTAATGTGGTGGCATTAATTTTGTTCCACCTATTTTAGATGATTAAACTGTGCTCAAGAAGTATCTATTTTTTTGCCTCATTTAAAAAGAACATCAAGACAGGCAGCTCAGAGCAAGATGCATTTAGATAAGCCCTGTCCTGTGTGATGGCTGTCTATATATTTGAAACATTTTRTTAAAAAACTGAGATTTTAGTGCCCTCATAATTCTGTAACTGCCTGTCAAGTTTAACAGCTCATTAAAATATTCTCATTAATGATTGCCACATATTTTTTGTTTGGATGAAGAAAATCCAAATAGCTGAAGACAGATGAATCTCATTTAAAAAAAAAAAAAAATCACCAAATTGAGAGGGAAAAATCTGTACAATTTGTTACCAAAATGAGCTAGCATGCCGAAGTCTGAATTATAACTGGAGATTGCACAAATATTTGTCATTGTGCATATGCATTAGTAGGATTTTGCAAATAAAACATGCCACTATAAACACTGTAGGATATGCCTCATACATTTAAGGTTTTGATTACAGCTTTATTTTCAATTCTCCTACTTATGAAGATATTTTGCTAAAAGTGCAGGCTTTCACACAATCCTCTGAGCGTTATGGTTTTAAACACTGAGTTATAATTTTTCATTGCAGGAGAAGCAGATGCTGAGGAAGATYTGTCTTCAGACTTGCCAGCAACTTTTATCCAGTTCAAGCACCATTCATATTCCCAAATGGTGAGCACCCTGAAGAAGACTGCCTCTAAGTGCTCCCACATTGCCACCACCTACAGCATAGGTCGCAGTTTTGAAGGGAAGGATCTTTTTGTGATTGAGTTTTCAACCAAGCCTGGACACCACGAGCTGCGTGAGTTATATCAGTTCTGATCAGGGAGGGGAGAGCAGATTATCCCAGTGCAAACAGGTCTTTTTACTGGGACATCGCTTTAACTGCAAAAAGCATTGACTCAAAAATATTACTCCTCCCTCCTGAATTACAGTGAATTTCAGTGTGCCTGAATGGCAGTGAGAGTTGATTCCTTGTAGCAATTACAACCCAGTTGCAATTTATTGCTGTTACAAGCTCTGTGTATGACCATGCTTGGCAAACCTGTTCCTTGTATGACCATGAATTTGGGTGCAGTGATATAGCTGTTACTTATTTGTGCCCGATGTACAAATTAGGGATACTTTTCTGTTGCTGAATTGCCGTCCCTATCATCAACACTCCCTCACTGTCCTTCACACCCTGAAATGCACACTTTCTGAGAAGATCTCAGATGCACAAGGACTCTGACACCAAAAAAAAGGATGATCCAGCATAGAAAACAGTCCTGAACAGAGGTTCATATCAGTGCTGTACCTGTCAGTGTAACAGTGGATGATGCCAGGAATTTATGTTAACATAGCCCCCCGAACAGATGCTATTATACTGTATATAGGGGCTAATGTGTACATTAGGATATGAGTCCTCATAAATTTTTGGCAGAGGGAAACAGCTCAAATCTCTTATTGTTTTTTAGTTTCATCACTAAGACAGCAAGGGCCAGATTTTTTTAATGTTTTAACTCAAAAGACAGATAATTTTCTAAGGGACTATTAGGTATTATTTTCCTGTGACCATCTCCCAACTCAATAATTATACTTGAGTGGATGTGSTGGATTGCCATGGCCATTGCTGGGAGCCTCAGGTTGTTTCTCATCAGAAGAACTCCAACATCARCACAGCCTCAGCAGTGTGGCAGAACTGAGCTCCATCTGATTTAATACTTAATTGAGATAATGCTCCCAGGTCAGGCTGCTGAGTCCTCTGTGTGCTGGGCTGCAGGGGAGTCAGAGGACAGCAAAGGCTGGTAGCTTTGTTTACTCTCAGCCATGCTGCCTTGCAGGATCTAGAGGTATTTTGAGGTGCCTTTAAACTTAATCAGGTCCCAGTAGATGTCATTAACAGAGAAAAGAYCTACATTACATTTTCCTGGCCTGTCATCCTTCCTCTCTTTCTCAAAGAAAATAAGTTGCAGGTGTCTTTTTAAGCTTGTACTCCATTTGCCAGGAAAACACAAAGCCTATGAATCAGGCTTTCAAACGAAAACTGTGATATGGCATGATAAAAGATGGTAGTTTAACACATTTTTCTAGCATTTCCTTCTAAATCTGTTGCTTCATGCTTCTTAGAACTGTATAAAAGGAGGTGGGAATAGCTCCAGAGCTGGAGATTTTGCCAGCCTGAGTGAGTAGATAATAGTTCTGTGCCAAGCTCCCTCCAGTGTCAGGTGCTCAAGGCTGGCCAGGATCAAAGGTAAAGATGAAGGRATAGACAGGAAAGGGTGTCTCCAAAGTGCACCTATTTTCTACTTTCCATTAGTCTCTAGGGAAGGATGGAAATTGAGAGAATGACTGCAGGGAATTGTGAAGTTCTGTGTTTCTAATAGGCTTATTCCAGAGCTATTTAGCTTGAAAGCCAYTTTATATGCATAACCCAGCTGCTTTCCCGAATAAAGGGGTAAAATATTACACATCTGCAGGTCATTTCTAGGATCTGTGTCGAAATAAGGCATTGAAGCTGCCCAGGGTAGGTCGGAATGTCAGGGTTGTTTTTTGATCTTTCTCAGCCATAGCCTGACATTTTTGTTTTCAGCAACGTTTACTCACAATTAATGACAAGTCTAGCAAAAGCTCAGAGCAATGATGGCCTCTTATAGTTTGGAATCCTAATAGTTTGTAATTATTTCACTCTATTTAAACTGTTACTGAACTGGTGCATAATAGAGGGAAGTTCACTTGGAACTGCTATGCTATTTGCAGGAAAGTGTGCACAAAATTAGTGTAAATAAAACTTTGACTCATCAGTAAGTGACTTGGGTTAGTCTGATTTTGGAAGCCACTCAGGTATAATCAAATTAAAACATCTCATTACTTCATATCCCACAGTCAAGCCAGAATTTAAGTACRTTGGCAACATGCACGGAAACGAAGTTGTGGGGAAGGAACTGCTGATTTACCTCGCACAGTATCTGTGCTCTGAGTATCTTCTTGGGAACCCTCGCATCCAGACMTTGATTAACAACACCAGAATTCATCTCCTGCCTTCGCTCAACCCTGATGGGTATGARCTGGCTGCAGAAGAGGTAAAAGTTTTAGTATGAGGAGATATCAGGTCTTCATGTTTCTGCAATTCCCTCCCRGTCAGAATCCCRGGTGGGTTTGGGGGTGCATTGCTTTCCAAAGATGGTGTGAACAGAAATAGGATGAAATCAAGCCATATTTGTCATTCCTACTGCCTGCATGTGATGGTGTGGGAATGACTGTGTTTCTCTTTCACACACTTAGCACTCTCTGCTATCAGTTCCAGTACAAAATGCCTACTGACTCACTGTAATGATTTACGCTGTTTTATAAGGAAATGYGGTTTGATATCATGAAACAGATGTTCCTCCTTTTTTTTAAAGTGTAGGTACAATAAAATGTGAACATTTTCTGTATAGTCACAGTTTCATAATGGATGGCAGTTTTCAGAGATCAACTCCTGTCTGAAGGAGACCTGTGAAAACAAAATTTCTATTATTTGTTACCTGACATTCTTCTTTATAGCTCACTGTTTTCTCTACAACCATTAACATGGAACTGGACCTTTCTTTCTCTGTGTTGCTCATACAGTGAGCTCTGTCAGTTTTGTGAGTCTGGGGTTTGTTGCACTCTGCCTCATTCTGTCTTGGGCCATCAGCTGTATTTTCTTTTTCTCTCCCTCTAACCCACTCTGCATGCTGCTCGGAGCAGGAGGCTCCTGTGTTCCTCTCATGACTCACATCACTGGTGAGTGAAACACTTCCTGAATACCAGTTAGTGCATTAATATTCATGGGGACAAAATGTGATTAATTAGTAAGTGTGGGTTTTTAACAGTACAGACATTTTCAGTTTACTTCTTCTATAACTTGCCTTTGTGAAAATTGTTTAATCAAAGTGTTATTTTGAGACAGGAGGGTGTTCTGAAGTTGGCTTCTGTGTTACAAAATAGGGGGCTGGCTACAATGGATGGGTCATTGGACGCCAGACAGCTCAGAACTTGGACCTGAACAGAAATTTCCCAGATTTGACATCTGAGGCTTACAGAAGAGCTGGGATTCGTGGGGCCCGTCTGGACCACATCCCCATTCCACARTCCTACTGGTGGGGTAAGGTATGAATTACACATTTTATAAATCATATATACTACAGAGCAGCTCAGGAATCAAGGGATTGAGATTGCTTGTTCTGAAGTTGTTTGCTTCTAATAAGATTTTACAAGTAGGACTGAGGAGGACAGGCTCAGAAGCAGCATGAAAATTATGGTGTAGGGCTGGCCAAAGAAGCAGGTGTCAGAAATAATTCACAAAATTTGTAGATAATTTGAGCTTTTCTGTTTTAGATTAAGAACAACAACTGGTACAAAGGGATCACAAGTGTGTAATGATGCATCATTGGTGCTTTAAACTGTGGTACATGTTAAAGGCTTTATGGATTTGGTTGTCCTTAAACTAAGCTTTGCACAGGTTTGATGCAATAGGAGTTTCTGCCTTGGAAAATGTACAAAAGCTGCATGTGAAGTTGTATGTTGTCACCTTCCCTTAAACGAGGGTGTTTGTGAATGGCTGTAACCACGCAGAGCAGTGGGAACAGCCTGTGGAGCTGCAGTGGTGCTGCGAGGAGAAGCTGCTGCTGCTGCAGGGTGGGAGCAGATGGAGGCAGCACTGCAGGGCCTCACACTCATCCTCACTGAGCTCTGCGTGATGTTTTGTCCAGGAATGCAAAGCTCAGTCCTGCCTGTGTTTCTGGCAGCCCAGCAGCTCCTGGCACTAGAAACTCGCAGTGGAACTCAGCTGCCCTTGAAAGAAGAACCACAGGAAGCTGAATCAGTAGTTGAGATATTGGGAGCTCTGCTTTTCTTCTGCTTTTAAAGTAATTTTATTCTAATTGAGTATTTATTGCTGGCACAAAGCCTCAGACAGGTGGGGAAGAGGGYTGTTTCAGCATCTGGTGTGTTAGCAGAAGATTTGAGAGATCATACTTCAGTTTCTTACTCTGCTGCAGGTGGTGTTACATAAAGCCAGGTCCAAATTCCAAAGGCATCAATCACTGATGCTGCCCCTGTGCTCTGGTACCCCATTTCACAGCAATAAAATCTGGATAAAAGCACCTCACTGCCCCAGGATAATGTGCAGATGCAATAATGAAAGGCTCAATAATGCACAGTGTCTCAAATCACTAATTTCTGCCATAGCTAAGCTGAAGTAGTTTATTCTACTTTATGCATTTTGTCACAGATCTCAACTAATGGCACTGAATTTCTGCATGATTATAGGGTCACAAGCTTAAAAGTTTTCAATTTTTGACTGAATAATAACAGATAAAAGTGAGTTAGTAAATGCAAATAGAGTACAGAGCCCCACACAGAAAAAGAAGGATTTAGAGCTGTGGAGCAGAGCCCGAGGCCAGATGAAATAGCTGGGGGGGAAAAAACAGGTTTTTTAGGGGCAAAGTCAGAGACATTTTGATTCACCAATGTGGTAAGTTGTCCCTGGCTCCTGAGTTGAAATAAAAACAGGGAGAGGTTGGTCACCAATTACCATCAGAAGCAAAACAGAATCGACTGGGGAAAATTATTTATATTTCTTTTATTTATTATGAATCAAAGCAGATTACAGGAATGAGAAATATTAAAAACATTTTCCTCCCATCTCTRCCTTTTTGCCAGGCTTAATTTTGCACCTGAATTCTATACCTGCTTTCCTGCTGTGGTGCAGGGCAGCTGGGAATGGGGGCTGTGGTCAGCTCATCACACATTGTCTCTGGTGCTCCTTCCACCTGAGGGGAAGGGCTCCTCAGACTCTTCCCCTGTTCCTACATGGGAAGGAAAGGAAAGGATGGAGATCTCCCTCCAGCTGTGTGCTCCCTCTCTGTCTCTATCCAGAGGTGCAGTAAAGGACCCAAACTACACTGAAGGAGGACAAACACATTTTTGATGCCCTTTTTAGCCAGTGCCTGGTGCAAACTGTGAGCTTGTCTCACCCTGTGCAGCCCAGAGTCCCTGGAACTCTGGATWTCCCAGCTCTAACTCCTCCCTCTCTGAGTCCTGCCTGTGCCCTGGTTCTTCTGCTGCCCTGTGAGATGGTCAGTGGCAGGCAGTCACTGCAGAAGTCATTTTTACAGCAATGATTTAKCTTCCTTAAGCACCGTGTGAGATCACAGCAGCTCACAGAGGGATGGGTGGAGGCAGCCAAGCATTGCTCTCACAGCTCTGCCCCAGCTGCAGGGTGCTGGTCACACACAAGGGACCGGGGAGCCTTGGCACTCATCCACCCCAACCTGAGCTCTGCCTCAGTGGGTGCAGACCTGGGCTTATAAATACATTGCTTCTCCTACAAACCTTTCCCTCTTTTTAAAGGAGAAATAAGGTGACCATCCAAGGAATCATGGCTCAGAGCACTGAAGCTTTGGGAACTTCTAGGTGCTTTCCTGGCTCCAAAGCTGGTCCTCACATGAACGACACCCAAAGCATCTCCAAATCCATTTTGCTTTGCAGAACAAATGAGGGAGCCAATGTGCCTGTGGCCTCGGTGGCACCACAAAATCTCCTTGCTGATTGTAGTTTCCTATTGATCACAAACCTGGCAGTAAGGGGTCCCACAGGCTGGGGATATCACAGGACTGCCAAATCAGCTCTCCCAAAATGAGCCTTGCTTTTGTTGGTAGATGAACCCGTATCTCTTACAACAGCACTTTGTGCATGCAGGAGCAGTAAGGTTGAGTGTTTCAGCATCAGCCTCTCAGCTTTCATTTGCTTAATAGTGTTACCTGCCTCATTAAAGTAATTACCTGAGTGTTGCAGGGCATTGTATAAAGATCAGGAAACAGAAAGTGAGCTCTCAGCCAGAGCTCCTGCTCCCCGAAAGCCTGGCTTTATATAGCCAGGCTATGTTTGTTCCCTACTATTATGAATTATTGTAATAAATGGTCTGCGGGCTCAGACAGAGAGACTTCAGGCTTCATCTGAAATAAAGTCAGTTCAATTGGCTTGATCCAAACAGAATTTGGAAGTCTATGCCCGTGGAGGCTGGCATAGTCTTTAGGAAAATTGGTCTGGCTGCTTTTAAAAGGGGAAAAAAAGAAATCTTTGAAAGCCATGGAGACAGTGACTAATTGCAGTATAATCGACAGAAATGGGATTCAGGTTTAAAAAGGRTAGTGGCTCTTCTCTGTACTCAGCCAGAAATAATTTAACTGTTTTCTAATTGTGCTCTGAATTGTTCTTGTGAGGAGGGTACATTAAAATTGATCTCATCTAACTTAAAAGCAAAAGCCTTAGCGGAAAAAAAAAAGTCAAACCCCACAAAACTCACATTAAAGGAAAAGTCAAAGGCCAGAGTGACAGATAATATCTGCTATCATCCAGTGGAGCTGAACCAAAATGTGCGCATTTCAAAGCCTTGATCACTGATGTCACTGAAATGTTATTAGGATAAAAATAGTGACATTGAAACTCCTGGTTTTCCACAACATTCACATCAATAAGACCCTGGCACTGTGAGACAGCACTGTCTTGGGGTTTATGCAGGTATCTTGTCAGCCAGTTGGCTGATCAGGATGGACTGAAATTCAGAGTTCTCAAATAAAACTGTGCATTTTACTCTCATCCACTGAATTGCAGAAGCAACTTTAAAATCTTGTTAAGGCCCAAGGGTGCTGTTTGAAAGCAGAGCTGAGGTTGTGTCAGGCTTGGCCTCTCTGGCTGGGCAGCAGGAGCTGGGGCAGCTTCAGCAGAACAGAGAGATGATGGGATTTTGGGACAGCATCCTCCTCAGAAAYGCTGATGCTATGGGCTTGGGGGGTGTGAGCTTGGTGCCAGGTGCTCACCCACCCCGTGAGCTCCCAAACAGGGATCCAGGGGGCAGGCAGTGACACTTAGTGCCCTTTACAAGCCATCTGGGGCTCTGCCCTTCAGAGGAGATGGGCCCAAAGGGCTGAGGTGGGAGTGGCTGGTGCAGTCCCAAATACTGCTGGGGTAAAGATCACGATCTGATCATCCCAGGACACTCTACAAGGCCAGAAAAACAAATACTTTGGTGCAGACAKCATTCTTTGGACACTGCCATGTTCCTGGGGGCTGCTTTCTTCTCCCACTTCTGCACTGTGTGAGGCTGAAAAAAGTCCTTTCTTTTTGGAATGCTTTTTATCTGCCTTTTAATTTTTTTTTTTTTTCCATGCCATGCCCTTCCTGGAAACTCTGTGTTTAATCTTCCCTAACTATGTAGAAAAACCTTGATTAGGTTTCTGGTGTGCAAAGTGCATTCTGTGTGTTCCTGAGTTGATCAGACTTTACCTGTTACATCCCATTTTTGTAGCTRCCTCTTGTAAATGCCAAAGTTGAAGGGGTTGTCACACAGAATTCAGAGGCTACCACTAGTCTGACAAAACGAACCTGGCCTTTTTCTCCTGGGAACCAATGGCACAAACCAGCTTGTGTTCATGTGCTGATCACAAACTGCTGATTTAATGATTCACCTGCAGCAGTGGGAAACTCAGGTTCCCATTTCTCCACAGCCTTTTACCCTTGCAGTGGCCAAAGGCACCARGTCAGATCAATAACTACAGAKGGGCATTTTAAGGAAAYCTGAAAATGAGAAGGACTCAGTTTATAGCTATGGCATCTATAGGGAGGTAGAATCCTGCTTAGATCAGGAATCGACAGGGTAATATTCTCTTAAATCATTCCAGGTAAAACTATATTTAGACAAGGCTTTTTCTTTGGCTTTCTGCCTCATTGATGGAGCTGTAATACATCCATGGTGCACCTTTGCTTCACAGTGTTTTTYTCTGCTCCAAAACTGGGTTTGTGGATCCCCAAAGGTATTTCTGTAACAACAGCAGATTGGGGACTGATCCAAAGAAAACAGGAATTACTTATGTTTAAACACAAATGTATAGATCCTTAGGGGTTTCATCCGGTTGGTTTGGTTGAGTTTTCTTTTTTTGTTTGTTCTGGAGGTTTCTTTCCTGCACATGTTGGTCACTAGGCACTCTAGAGCTGTGTCTGTCTGGTGTTCTGCAGCTGATGGGGTCACAGCAAAGGGTGGTAAGTGACGTTACCAGCCCGAAACAGATGCTGGATGAAGTTCATCAGAACAGATCTTTCTCATTTTTRTAAAACCTGCAAATCTGCGCTTGTGCAGAGTCTGAATGAGCAGCCTCTGCCCTGCTCAGGTTTCCCCCGGTAACTTTGCCCAGATGAAGGAAAAGAACCTCGACTCTCCAGGGGCAGTGTCTGAGTCTGGGCTTGCAGGGAGCGGCCGCCAGATGACACTGTTATCCCTAAGAATGAACCAGCACCGGAGCGGGTCCCTGAAACAGCTCCTCAAACACGGGGTGAAGGAGCCTCCTGCATGTCGGGTGCCTGAGCACCTCTTGGAGTCAGTGCCCTGTCCCTTGGCCGCTCTTACTGAGCAGGAACTGTCAAAACCCTCCAAATCTGGCGACTTCTCTGCCGCAGTTCACTGCAGGTAAACTGCAGACATTACTGTGCTTTATATACATTAGTTTTCATTTATTTGCAGATAAACCTGGACCAAAGGATAGTAAGTGCATTTTCAACAAGTGAAGAGAATTGCAAATTTATCCCGCTATTTCATCTTATCCATTCGAAGTCAGTCCTGCTGATTTAGAAATGAAATTAGATAGTTTGGTTTGTAAGTAGTGACATAATGCCACAAGTTTTCCAGCCTAAAGTACAGCTATCACAGTTTCACTTTGAACTGGAAATGTCACTGTAATGAGAAGTTTATTTTTCTGTCAAATTTTCTCTGGGTTTTTTTTTGCTTCAGTTTTTTCACAGTGCACAATGTGTATCATCTAATCCCTGGAGCAAACTCTCCCCACAGTAACTTTTGGGACAAAAGAGCCAAAGAACCTCAACATTTTCCTTTTGGCACAGTTCCTTCTCCACTGGGCTTCATCCTSTCCAGGATCAAATCTCTTTGGAGCTGCATAGCTTCTCACAGCTTTTCTTTTTTTCCTCCTGGATTTCAGGTGGCCCCTGAGACAAAAGCAGTTATGAAGTGGTTGAGGTCTATCCCATTTGTGCTCTCTGCCAGCCTCCATGGCGGTGAGCTGGTTGTGACATATCCTTATGACTATTCAAGGCATCCTATGGAAGAAAAAATGTTCTCCCCGACACCTGATGAGAAGGTAATGTTGTTTCTGCAGGGTGAGCATATTGGTGTGGTTTCCGTGTGTGGAATTATGGAAAAAATTTGTTTTAATAAATAACAAACTTTGCCTAATTTAGATCATGTACATGTGTGTATAKGTATTCRTGTATTAAATACATAATAAATCACKTTTATATGCATAATACAGGTCTATATACATGTATATAATGTAACATCTGCTCATTTGGGTAGGGCAGAGTGTTAATAATGCMAAAGTCAAGTTTCAATCCCCATAGAAGCTTTTCACTTAAAAGTTGGACTTTATGATCTTTGTGGATCCCTTCCAACTCAGAATATGATGTGACTGATTYATACACTTATTTAATGTACTTTAAAATTGTTTGCATACTATTAGCTTGGTCTAGAAAGGTTTACCCAATTTTTGTGAGGCCAAATATGGTTTTGTAAAGCACAGATTGTGAAAATCCAGGCTTTTAATTTTTAAAAGGRGTAGGCTCTGATATTTTTACCAATGGTTTCTAGAAGAAAAGGAACAATGTTCACCAGCAGTGTTATTTTCCCTTGGAATTCATAAGGAGTGGGGGRGAAAAAGGCTCATTGCCATATGGTGGCACCCTTGTAACATTTATTCCAGGTCAGATGAATGGAAATGGTTYCCCCCTCTTGTCCCTGGAAAGTTCCTCATTTGGGACTCACTGTAAATCTTCTGTGAAATTTTTTGCCATMTTTYCTATTTCCCTTTGGTTTCCTCAATCTAGTATTCATTGCCGACATGCCCACCAGGAGAACAGCTAGCTTTTCAGCCTTCTAGCGTGTGCTAAAAACGGCTGTGGCCTCTTAAGAAAAGTGCTTCTTTATATAAACAAAGAGCAGTTGAAAATAGTCAGAAGTTGATCTTTGACTTGAAGCRTCCTTTATCTTTGAGCATATCTCTMRGCTGAATTCTTCTGAAATGACAGTTCTCRCTCACACATATTAAATATTTAAAGATTTATGGCTGCAAAATATTTTCTGTATCAATCCATTTCTTCTGAGCCKTACAATGCCTACTGACTATGTGTGTACAAAAATGATTTAGTAGTAAAATTAACCAGGCACTGCACAGGAGAAAAAGCTTACATGCGAAATATCTGATGGGTGTTAATGCAAGCTGCAGAACCTCTTGGTGAGGATGGGGGAAATCATGAACTTGTGCATTTACATCCCACTGCCCAGGCTAGGGCTGTCCTATGCYGAGATGCTGAAGGGAATGTTGCCATGAGTGCTTTACAGAGCAGTTCACCCCTGGAATGGGAGTACAGCAGCACCTTCATCATCTCTGCTCAGAGACAGMGTGTGTGTTTTGGGTGAAAGGATGCAGCCACGCAGACAGGGYTCCATCCCAGTGTAGTGCACAGCTGGACAAACCTTAATGAAACTCCTGGCTTGCAACAGAGTAAGGCAAGAAAACATATACARGTGAGTGCTGAATAGTCAGTGACTGCAAAATCTGTGAAGCTGGCTGCAAACCTGGAAGTTTAAAACATACAAGAGAGTATTTGTATGAAAAATCAATTTTTCAAATGACTCTGAACAGGAACTTTACCAGCACTATCAATATAACTTCAAATTTTGCACAAAAAACTATAAAACCTGTACCTGTGAAGTGACCTGCATTTAAGTAATTTGATYTACAGCTGCTGCTGTTGGGGAACCTTCATCCCAAAATACAGCAGTTTGCTTAGCTGCCATCCATTGGCCATAACCCTTGTTCTGAATGCTGACCTGCCACATTCGCTGTGCAAGGGGAAACTTGCAGCCCAGGATGAAATGCTGCAGTGCAGATAACAGCCAGATATTAARACATCAGATGCTAAGAAATATATTCAAACCATGTTTCCCCATCTGAAAATTCATCTGTGTGCTGCCACCTCCCTGTGCCCCTCATGGTGCATGTTTGGAAGCACAAGTTCCTCTCTTGCCTCTGCTCCAAGACACAGCTGATTTCAAGTCTGTTTTTAGCCTGCGCCACTACCTGGGCCAGTACCTGCTGAGAGCAAGGAATCTAAAAGCTGGACCATGTCCTTACATTCAAATTCTTGTATCTGGTTTAGGCCGCCTAATTAAAAGCTTTCCCATATTTTGGGCTTTATGGAGAAGGTTGTTTTAACGCTTTGTGTTACCCAAGAAGTGGAATTGATGTCTCCGCTCACCACAGCAGAAAGGTCCACACCAAGTCAAGTTCATTCCCTTTGGRGAGTTGAAACCCTYCCTTCCCTCCCCCTGAAAAACCCARCCTGTGACAGTCAGCAGGGTAAAAGTGCTGGCCAAGGTAACAGCTCTGACCTCATTTTACTGAATGGAACCTCACACTACCAAAGTCACAAGGATTCCTCTGAGTTTTTCCTCTTTTTGCTCCASTGCATTATACCTAAATACCTAAGTTTCCTTGAGGTCTGTGACTTGACATACATTGGCTTCTAAGTGATAACAAATTYGGTGTTATCCAGGAAAAATTTTGAAGCGTAATTTTTATTTTTTTTTAATAGATTCCATTTTCTTTTGGAATTCTCGTTCTCTTTTCTCACTAGCACTTGTCTTCTTTCACTTGCCCTAGTGGCCAGACAAAAGCCTTATGCCTCTTGGTGTGAAACAAGAGGAGACTTGGTCACTGGAAATAGAGCAGCTGCAGATGTCTTTGTAAAAGGTGAGGAACGTACTCTAAATTCACACAGGCAAGTTCTAAATTTTTATCAGTTATCTTCCATGGAAGGTTCAGAACAGGGACCCAAATTCCTGTAGAAATTAAAGATATTGAGCCTGTCACTGAACTAGTGGCAGTAMAAGTTTCTCTTAACATATTTAATTAGGATTTATTTCTTTTCAGCAGAACTTTGAAGGACATTTAATTTTCTGGCCTGAGCAATATTTAGAGACATAGAAATTTAAGGGAGCTGCCAAAGCATTTCATATTAAGTCTGGATTTTTAGTGTCTGGTCATAAGAAGTATTTCAGTAAATTATCTTTACACTTACATTAAACTCTCTTTCCACCTTTCCTTTCACCTACCTGATCCCATAATTGGCTCAGCCATGTAATTATTAGAAACAATCACAAATATTAATCAATATTGTGTGCTTGGTCATTTTGGTCTTTATCCTTGATGATGGCATCTAGRATTAGATGTATCACTTCCAAAACTAGGGTTTCAGCTACAAAATTTCTTGCACACATGGTCTTAGGCAATATATAATGAAACTCATGATGATGAATAGTAGGCTYAAGCAGCATCTGATAACTGCTGTAATTTCAATGTTGAAATCTRAAAGTGTAGCCTTTGCAAAAGAGATTCAAATGAACAAAAAGGAGAGGGAGGGTTTTTGTACAAAGTTGCAATAACCACTGGAGAAGACGGGCAGGAACATGATTCAAATAAATGGTTTCTGCAGACAACTGCTCTTTCTTCTGTCTTCACTACATGTTCTGTCACTGTTCCTTTCTGCATGGTGACTGCTCTGCTCTTCATCACTATCAACACTCTTTAGAAATCAGCAGTGACATCCTACATCACCACATCCTATCACTCACTTTTTAGGATGGTTTCTGCCCCACAAAGAAGCAACTGTCACTGAGATCGAACTGGCAGATTTTCCAGTGTGAGTGATAAGTGGAAAGCAAATTGACACTGTCTATTTTGAACAGCACCAGTCAGTGTGAAGATGTAGTTGGACTGAAGGTAATTATAGGTATTTTTAAGGGGTAAAAATAGTAAAGGCTGAAACATAACCTAATGGAGGCCTAAATTTCAACTTTAAAAGCTGGGSACTTGGAGTAAAACCAAAGAAGTCCTCTGCTCCTGCTCCAGGTGGTAGATTGAAGCCAAGTATCRCAGAATCCACTAGTGTTTAATATTTCTTTTCTGGCTAAATATACTGRATTGCAGAGAAGGACCCTAGAGAAGAAGACAAATGAAAACTTCTTATCAATAAATGAAACTTCCTTGTGCAGCAGTTCAKCACCTCCTTCAGTCTCGAGGACGCAGGGTGGCTCACTGTCTGGGCTCAAAACATCRGTAAATAATAGCAGTAATGGCAATGTTTTCAGTTTGTAAAAGCATTTGTCTTTCAATCCTGATTGTTGCAGGTGTTCAAAATGCTGGCCAAAGCCTACGTAGAYGCACACCCCGTCATGTCAGACAGGTCCGAACTCCGCTGTGGTGGGAATTTTGTAAAACGTGGAGGTATTATAAATGGTGCTGAGTGGTACAGCTTCACTGGAGGTAAAACCACTTTACCATCATATCAAGTGAGGTAAAACCTCTATGTGACCTTTATGAGACACAAGGGTTTGAACAAAATAATTTTWTTCTTTTCAGTTTGCTTAAGGTCCTACCCTGAAAAACATAATTTGTAGGGGAATTAAGTAGTAAAATGTGTGTTAGTAATGTTTATATGCAGGTAACATGGGATACATTGAACCTCAATGGGACCTGAGGAAAGTTAACAAGTTATGCAAGGGTCAGATTTGTTATAGCATATAATATCATTTTCGTTTTCAAATCAGATTTGTAGAAATAAATGCTTAATGCTGTGCTCTCATTCCTTAGCAGCATGAGTCTGAATCCATCTTGTAGACTACGCAAGTGCTGCTTTTTCATCTGTTTGAATGAATTCTTTTTTCAGGGAAAACTACAACAGAGGCAAACATCCAATTCATTTGTGCTTCCGTTGCTAATTTGATTTCCGTAATAATAGCATTTTGTTTTCTTTAKAATTCCTTCAATTCTGGCATGGATAAAATATCAGTGTTCATAAATTTTCAGCAGTGCTTCAGTTGTGTTTTCCAATAGAACTCAGCTGGATCCCCAAATAATTATGTTGAAACTAGACATTTGGAATGCTTTGGGGCATGGGTGAAAATTAGGTTTGGATATCTTTGGCTTACATTGGTCCCAAAATTATATCCAGTGTCTTTTGTACAGAAACGGTTTTGAACATAATAATTGCAAAAGGTCATTTCTGTTCTGGTGACCCTTGGCAGTCACCTCTGATACAGCCGATTATCCAATTACTGGGATTAACCAATATTTATCCATCTATCACTGCTTCTTGGCCAGGTGAATAATAATGTAAAATTATGCTTTTATTGCTTGAAAGAAATGTCATTGTCAATAATTATTTTGTAATTGAAAAAAGAAGTTGCAGAATTCTGAATCTGTTGAATACTTTTTACGTATTAGCAAGCATTCCTTACCGTATAATAACCAGCACTCATGGGGAAAGCATTCAGTTGCCTGCAGCAGCAAAGCTCCAGTTAAAATCTACATGGCCTGCTCATGAGCTCTCCTTTTTCCTTTTAATTTTATAGGTATGGCAGATTTTAATTACCTTCACACAAATTGCTTTGAGGTTACCGTGGAGGTGGGGTGTGAAAAGTTTCCTTTGGAGGAAGAACTGTTTACAATCTGGCATGAAAACAAAGGTGCCCTTCTGAATTACATGGAAATGGTACTGCTCTGCTTTTACAGACCTTTGTACTTACGGTTTTTCTTTTTCATTCTTGGTCAAAATTTATTTCTCTGTTGTTTCCCTGGTCAGCTGTTGAGATAATGCTGAATCAACCACCACACTCCACCAGAGGCCCYGGTGCCTCAGTTTGTCTAGCAGGACACAAAAATAACATTTTGCCTATGCTGCAGAAGGGATTGAGGTTGAGGACTGAAAAGGCCTTGAAAATAGTGYGAAAGGGAATTATTTGTGAATATTTTGGGCAACGTTATTCATCAATTGTCCAAAATTTAGCATTAGAGAAAATCATAATACTCGGAAAAGTGTGRATCACCATTCCCCTTGAAGATGAAAGCAGCAAGATCTGCTCTTCAGAGAGCTTTCTCAAACCTTTTCCTTTCCATATTCTGTGTTTGTCACAAAGCCTACTATTCCACAGCACAAGATTTAGATTCAGCTAAAATCTTGCTAGAAATGCAGTTTACACAGTTTCCAGATTGATTTCTTTATGAAAGTAGTTATTAAATACCTGAAGCCAAATCTTCTAAAGGAACAACTCTGTGTCTCTGAACGTTAAGACATGTCACTTAAATGTCATTTTTAATAATAAGTTTAAGSTCTGCAAAAACAAATACCTCACTGACAATAAGTAAGTGAGCACAGAAACAGAAGTTGCTCATCTTTCTCTCAACCATTAGTAGATTAGCTTTCTGTCATGCCTTATTTTGATAGACTACACAGTAATTTAAAATTGTTAGGAGTGTTTTTATGGCCTTTCTAAGCAACCTCTTGCTACTTGTGTTAAGTATTATCATTCAATAAAGTCTACAGTACAGACCACCAAACTCATTTCGTTTTACAGCTGTCTGAGGAAAATGAGTTTTAGTGAATCCAAATGGAGCTGGGTTAAATCCATATATATTACAATTGAAGTCTTCAAGATGTAAAGATTTTATAGTGTGAGATACTGTAGAAGTCTGTGCCGGAAAAGCTTTTTGAGTAAATGCAGGACAGTAAGCAAAACAACTTTGCAGATAAGGATGACTGAATTACTCCCGATAAGGATTAAGTCTGCCATAACCAATTCAAACTTTTCTTATTCTGATATATACCAGGCTGTTTGGTGTGTGTGTACAAATCTACTTGGTTTACCACACAGAACTAGAATTCATTTTCCTAAACGCTGATCTCTTCATTAGAAGYAAAATCAAAAAACTCTGCCAAACTCATGTGGCACCAGCTTGAGGAAAAATTAAAATTAGTACATATACTAAARCAAACCAAAGCAACATTGTTAAAGAAATTTCAATTTTGCCATTTTTATCCCATCATGTTGTAATTGCAAAATTATTATTGAAGTTGGATGAGGTCATACTACTTTGAGTGTGTCTACACTGTAAATTAAATTTGAGTCTGAGATGACTCTTCTGACCAGATTTACTYTCTATCCATATGATAAATCCTCAAGTTCATGCTGAAAAGCAATTTGCAATATTTCATTACAAGGGATGKTTTTCAAATCCTTACACTGAGTTGTTCCTAAACCTTCCAGTGAATAGCTTCACTCAATATGGAACAGCTGCTTAACAAGAGCAGTGACAATACAGCCTCACCTTAAATTAAAAACTCCTGTCACTAGACTAGACTTTGGGGTTTTTTTCAACATTGCATTATAAATTACTGTAAAGTTGGATATTTTAATAATTACTTTTAAGCATCTTCATATCCCAACAGAAGTGCAAATATCTTTTTCCCATTGTTTTGATGCTTTGTGTTTTTTTCCTATTCTTCTTTTGTGACGAGGGTACTTGGGAAGAGCAAGTGAGAGGAAGAGAAAAGAGGTGGGGAAGTGAAGTAAAGGAAACTGAAGTTGGTCATAGCTGTTCAGAAAAAAAATTGAAATGGAATTATTTTTCACTTAAAGAGGTCATACAGATTTTCCAATATAAAAGGTTTTCATTTTRGGACAGTGTAAAAGAGAAACTTAAGAAGCTTAATGTATAAATACTTGGATTTTTTTTTTCTATTTTGTTTTATTGAATTGAGCTACCAATATAGTTGTTTGTGCACTTCCTTGTGTGACAGAATTCAAATCACTCTTTAGTTTGTCACCAGGCATGTTTCCCAACAGCTCAAGCAGCTCAAGAAGCTCAGTTCTGTGCYTGCAGAGAAGGGGAAATGGCTGTCATACACTCTGCTGTCAGACATTCTGACAGGCACTGAGGTGTAGGCAGCAGAGTGATGATGAGCCACAAGTACCTGAGGTGATCCCTTCTCATTGTGCACAGAGCATCACATTGGTTTTTAAAGCCTCGAGTTTYCATTTCTTTGTGGTTCTGTGTCTAGGGCAGACATTCAGAAATGGTCCCTAAATACTGTGGTCAGACCATGAGGTGCCGGTGATTTGTGCAGAGAAGGGTCTGTCAGTGCCACATACCTAGCCCAAAAAAGCTCTGGTTCCATGATTCCTTTCCCTCAGCCCCCTTGGAGCTCCCTAAATAAGGAATATGATCTGGGGAGGCATTAGTGCCTGAGAACCTCTATAATGAATTATAATTTCTGACAGTTGTTTCCTCTCTACAAAACTTTTTGTGTGATGAAGAGGTGACACTGTGATAAGTGACTCCCATCTAACTTTGCTTTGCTTTGCTTTGCCAGGTTCATCGTGGGATAAAAGGAATTGTGTCTGATAAGTTTGGCAACCCAATAAAAAATGCYCGTATTTCAGTCAGGGGCATTCAGCACGATGTCACCACAGGTAATATTTTTAGTTTAAGATTTTTCCTGGGGCAGAGTGAAAATACTGAGAGCTTAACCTGCAAAAGTATTGTGATGATTGGTAGGAATGGCACCTTGATGGAGAACTGAAGGCTCTGAGCTGAAGGCGGGGTTTTTTTCTAGAATAATAAGAGAGAAGACAAGTCAAGGCAGCTGTGAAGTCTGCCATGTCTCTGGGATGAGAGKTCTCACTGAAAAATTCCACCTGGAACTGTCTGCTGTCCATCAAAGCCAGTGTTGGGGGGAACATGGCAACAGCTCTGCTCAGGGGCTGTAATTCAGCACATGGAGGAGCAGAGCCCTGATGGAATAAGTTARTTGAGATAATGTGAACAAGAGTTGTAAATAGTACAATAGGAACCTCTCTGATTTTCTCAACTAGAATTATTGCAGTAATTGAAATGTCCACAACCTTTCTTGTTGATGGGGAAACACATAAGTATGTGCAATTTTTGGGCAATAATTATATCAAATGTATAAAAAAGTAGAACATTGAATTATGTCCATTTTATACCTGTCATCAATGGATTAACATGAATTGAGGCATTCAGCTGTCACTTTTCACAGTCATAAAGTTCTGAGCTCTTAGGCTRCCACTGAAATCAATGCTTTCTTTTTATTATTGATTTCAATGAGAACAGGGCAAGCCATAGAAGTGCAAAATAGAAGAAATGAATGGTAATATTTTTGTCTAATGACAATATTTTTGTCTAATGATAGTTGTTGAATCAATTTAGAAAGCCAGAATAGCTTATAATGTAGTGGATGTTTTCCAGCTTTCAAAAAAACTAGCACTAGAGGGGATACGATAGTGGGGATGATGCAGATTCTTGAGGCTGGTGGGAGACTCTGGCATGAATTAGGGTCTTTTTCAAACTTCTTCCCAGACAATGTCTTCCCATTGGCAATGGACCTTTAAAAGATTCAGAATTAAATGAAAAATATGTTTACACTGAAGGAAAGAGGAGTATTTTGAGTTAGGTGGGGCTAAGAATGTCATATGATTAAAAAGTTTTTTGATTTCAGTGTTAAAAAGGACTAAGAAATTCCAYGAGAAAACAGTATTAATGCAACATGAACTGAGCTAAGAGCCTTGCCATTCAAAATAAAGGAAATATAAAATGAGGAATAAATTTTTCTTTTTTAAGGCTCCCTGCTTTTGCCTGCAGGGTCTAACCTTCAGCTGGAGGAAATTTACACCCATTTTACACTAATGGCAATTTATACCAGCTGCAGCTCTGACTCCATACTCTTACATGCTAGAATGTCTGCAAAGTAATTGAATGTAATTTAATAAAAAAAAGGGATTTCTTAGCTCCTTAGACATGCTAAATATATATATGCATCTTGCAGCGTGGATTCTAATTTCACTTTCTTAAGTTTCAATAGTTTTAAATTAATTTCTTTGGGAGTTATTCCTTGTTTTCCCTTGGGAAAAGCAGCATGAAGGAAAGCTTCTCTTCGCTGTGATGCAGGAACACCATTCAGTGGTATTTTGTGCGTGAGTTTTACTCTGTTAACTCCCAGGGGCCGTGTTTCTCTTTTTGTTGTCTAGAGTTTGCATTTAAACATTCTTTTCAAACTCAGATTTTTCCGTAGCTGCTTGTGCCGTCTGTAGGCCCACAGGCACGCGTGTAACCACCAAGGCAGCGAGGATCAAAAACCGAGCTCACTTTTGTCATTTTTTTGTGCCTGTCCCTTTCCCAAGCTGCTGACGGCGATTACTGGCGGCTGCTGCCCCCRGGGACGTTCATCATCAGCGCCCAGGCGCCGGGCTACAGCCGCGTCATGAAGAGGGTCACCATCCCCGCCAGGATGGCGCAGGCCGGCCGCGTGGACTTCGTGCTGCGGCCCATGGACGCCTGGCCCAACAAACTCCTGCGCCGCTCCATGGATGACATCCAYGACCCCCATGACCCCCTGGAACTCTTTGACCCACACGCCCAGCACGGGCAGCCCCAGGCTCGCGGTGGGTCGGCGCCAGGCAGGGAGAAGCCRTGGTGGTGGTCGTATTTCAGCTCTCTGGACCTGCACAAACCCCTGTGGCTGCTCAAGCAGCGCTGAGGGCAATGGCGGTGCTCTGCTCTGCTCACTCCAGGCACCCTTGCCAATATTTAAATGTTTCATTTCAAAATATAATGGTGATTCAAGCACGTTTACTTCTTCTGTTTTCTCTTCGCGCACACACACGGAATATATTCGAGTGGGTTTTTTTTTTTGTATTAAAAACAACGGTGCACATCCATTCAAAGGCCAGATTTGATGCAGTTGTTTTTTTTTTCTTGGTAATGTTCTGTACTTCTGCCCGTGTAGTTAATTATCACATTAATTATTTATTAGATTCTAAGTACCTGCAGGAAAATATTCCTGGACCTTTAATGCATTTCTGTACGTGTTTTAAGACTTTCATGATTGGATACCAAAAACAACTTTCAGAAACATTCAAAAAACTCTTTTATTTTCCCTTTTTATATTAGCATATTAATTTCGTTGCCTCTTCTAATAACGGCTCAAAATGAAGGTTCTGGGGTATTTCTTTTTTATATTTTAAATGTGTTTATAAATTTAAAAATAGGCTTTTAATATATTTTAGTAAAATGTGAAAAATGCCTTTACTGCTGGAAATACACACATCCTATAAACGTATGTGTAGACATAGAAAAATACATGAGATAACCCGTGTGGAATTTGGGTTTAAGGGTGACATATAACACTAAGGTTGTTAACATCATRCACTGTTCTGAGCCTACGTACTGTTAACGAAACTTGTAGACATTAAAGAAATCACAAACTTCTTCTCAAGATAGTTGGGTAAAGCTCAGTGAATATGGTCTTGCAAGATGCTGTCCTCTCTCAGACATCAGATGCAATGCATTTTTTAAGGTGATAAATATAAAAAGAGTCCTTGATCTGATGAAACACATAGGCCCGCACTTCCTTTTGGCTGGAACAGTTAATGAACTCTATGCAGACTCTGTTTCCCCCTGTAAATGCCACAGTGCCTGAATTTTGTGATTGTTGGAGCTGATGTGCTGTCTGCAGGAGCTGCTGGATCAGCTGCGTGGATTGCCCTATGATTTCTAAAAAATTTTTGCTTGTTTTAAGTAAAGCAGCCCTCACTGCATGAATCCCATATCCACATGTATACATCTCACACTATAATCACCTAAGAAAAACCCAAGAGATGAATGATCTTAATTCTGCAACCAGAGGCTGCACATGGCTAAGTAYTTTATTCCCAGTTGTAATCTGATTGAAGTTGGGAGTCTGTTATTCATGTGCTTGGATGTCTGCAGGGCTGGAGACTATGTTAAAATCAAAGAAATTTATTTCAGAGCATTAACAAAAAGTAATTATATGGGAGTGAATGTACTGCATGYACATGGATAAGTGTTCCTTGCCCAGGCTTGCCAAGTTAAAGGAACTCTGGAACCCTAAATATGCCAAAGAAAATTAAGCMGGAGATGCACCTCCAGACTTTATTTCCAGTAATAGGTATTAGTACCATTTTCTGTGGCCATTTTTTTGCAAAGGCAGACTCCTGTGAAAACGGTGGTGAAGCTAACAAAATAAGAACAATATGCCAAATTGCTGACTATTAGCTGTGCTTTTTAGGCATGTAATGTGTTGCAAACTTAGAAAATGTTTTCTCTAAGTATTTCCAAGATTCTTACAGGGCTATTTAGATTTTTTTTACAAGTAATCACAGTAAATCCAAGCCTGTTGAAATGTAAAACAGAATGACTGTTCCGAAAATCCACTTCTTTCCTATAGTCCTGAGTTGAAATAGCAGATGAGAGTCAAGAYTTGGGAAATACGATTTACTGAGTAGATTGTGAAGACATCCTGTGTTTGAGGCAGTTTGAAAAAGTAGTTTGTTGTACTACTACGCCATTTAAGTGAAAATGGTATGAGAGAGACTTCAGTCATAAAAAGAGGTGTCCAGCAGAGAAAAAGTTAAGATCTGAATTTTCTGCAGGTTCACACTCAACCGCCTGTATGGAAGGGATGTATTAAATTGCATTGAAGAAACTGCAAGGCTCTTGGGAAAAGGTGTGCCTCAGTCTTCTGGAACTATTTAATTTTTCAKAAGAGGAAATCTTTAGTTTTCAGTTCCCTTGGAGATGGAAAAGACTGGCAGAAAGATTAGAATGTCTCCCAAAAATCCATTTGACTTTAGATGAGATTTAGGACATATTTGTTGGTGCTTTGAGAAAGAAAAGGAAAGAAGCAAAGAAGGAAAAAAGAGAAAGAAAAAGGAAGATGGATATGTAAGAAAGAAAAGGAAAGAAAGAATTGGTCAAAAAGCCAAATAACAAAGAAACCAAAATTTATATCACCATTCAAATTTTATTTGAGATTAATATGGACTTAATTCTATATATCTRTGTGAGAGAAAGTATGAGCTTGGATGGGTATCCTGAACTGATTGCCTAAATCTCCTCCAATGTTTATTTAAATCAAGTAGTGTGTGTTTGATATCAGAGAGTTTTGTTTAAAAAAAAAAAAACCAACAAAGAAAACCACCACCACCAACAACAAAAAAAAAAACCAAAAAACCTTAACCCAAAATAACCCACCCCATGAGTATGGCATGGTTCAAAGGATTTTTAAGAGGTGGTGAAATTTAAGCAGCTGTAGGCAGCTCTGGAACTAATATATGGAAACGAACACAGTGATCAGCTCTCTCATGGACCTCTCTGGAAGATGCTCATATACAGAGTTTAATGGAACATAAAGTTAGGAGCATATTAAATACTTTCTAAATAGAAAGAGGGATTAAAATCCTTCAATGAAATATGCCCTCCTACAAGCAAAGTGCAAGTAACATAGGATAGAAGAAATAATCAAAGTTCTCAGGCAGTCTCCATCATGCTTAAACCCTTCCTCAGAGACTGGGCTTGGCCTTTWTCCAGAGCTACTTTGGATAGTGACAGGTTCAGCAGCCAGACGGTGCTGTCAGGAATTATAGTGTGTGTTTATCAGACTCCCTCTCCTCTTAAGTCAGAGCCTACATAATTTTTTTCAATTACCTTCCAACCACATATTGAACAGTATTGATGTCTGTTTTTGCAACATCCTCCTTAATAATTAAYTTCCCAGTCTCCATATTTGTTACAGAGGGATCTTCTCTACCACGGAGCCAAACTTTTCTGTACAATCACACTAATAAATGTTTTGACCTGCCAACTGTCCAGACCTCATTGCTCTGCCAGCAATGAATCTTCCCAACAAGTCAAAGCATGCAGATCTAGCTAACAGCATTACAARCATAAGAGCAAATAAAAAGCTCTGCTTATGTCATATGTGCAATTTCTCTTTCATTCACAYGCCAGAAAATAGCCAAGAACACATAAAAAGAAAAATGCCAGTGGTTAAATCACAAGCTGTGTGCATGAATTACACAAAAGAAGATTTGGGTCTGTTTGTTCCATTCATAAAAACTTCTAAAATCAAAAATAACAATAAACAAAGGCATAAAACTTTGCAGCTGTTTAGATCTTTTTCTCCTGTAACAAAATTTTCTTCCAATCTTGGGCCACCCATATAGGAAAGGACATCTTTATTTTCCTAAAGACAGAAGAGAAAGGTGTCCTAAGCTAACTGCTGAAAACAGAACTTTAAGTGTCAAAGCCACTGAGTAATAGAAGCCCTTCCTGCTATCATTTTTCAATATTTATACATTTTTTTCTCCTTTTAATGCCTCAATATAGCAGCTAAAGGTAAGCACTCCAAAACAATATTGCAGTCTGCTCTGAAGTACTATGAACCATCTATGAACTATGAAGTACTATGAACCATCTGTCAATCAGAGTTTGCCAAGCCAGAGCCATTTCTTTGTGTCCATCACTCCAGTATGGCACTGCAACTCAAAAACAAGCCAGAGATGTCTTCAGTGGTTACAAAAGCAGCCATCAAAGTGAGACAAGCCTGTGTGTCTCTGAGGTGATGCTTGCAGACAGGCTGGGAGAGCTCTRYGATGGGTGGSCATTCATCCTGCAGCAGTGAGGCAYGGGAGAGTCAACCTTTAGGAGAAGRGGAACAACAGGGATCRGGGTTGTTYGAGTGTCTTGGATGGAAATGTGAGCTGAAGCTGATACACCTCTTGACAGASCTCCTGTCAGAGGTACTTCATGCTGTTTCCCTTCACTGTAAGATCTGCCTTTTGAAACTTCCACAGTGTGAAAGGAGTGGATGGGGAAGCTGCACTATGCTTCCCCTGCTGTCTTTGTCTTCACAACATCTTGGAGGAGAGATCCTCATTGGCATTTGCCTTTTCTGACATCCTGTAACCTCAACATCTGGAAAAGGGCTTCACATTGGCCTCCTTGGTGGGCAACCAGACCTCTGTGAGGATGTGATCTGCCTCCAGCCATCCATCATGCTTAGGGGACACCAGAAGGGCTTCTTCATAGCAGCTCTTGGTGGCCTTTTTGATTCTGGGTCCAGGTCTGCTTACATCGGTGTGAGGGTCTGGAAAGTAGGGTGGGTGCAGAAGGTGGATTTAGTTTGATTTTCTTTCTCTCTATGCTGCTCCAGTTTTGATTAGCAATAAAATCTCCGCCAAGTCAAGTCTGTTTTTACCTATGTTCTCATCTTAATCCATGAATGTTTTAATCTTATTTTCCTTCCCTGCCTCTCCCTGAGGAGAAGGAGTGAGAGAGCATCCTGGTGGGCACTTGGTAGCTGCTGGCTTTAACCCACCACGCAGTGTCTGCATGTCCTAATGAACGTTGCACTGAGTGACATGCCTTCTACCCTCTGAGCAGGTATTTAACATGRATTTTGAGTTTCCTTAAGCATCAGGGCCTTCAATAAAAAGATATTGTAATGATGAGATCAATTTTTTTTTTGCCTATTATGTAAGCAGGTGTGAGATGTCTCCTAAGGAGTTGCTGGCAGACCTGTYAGCAAAGGCTGCTGAAAAAGCTAAGAGATGGTTTACAGGGAGGTGATGATATGACTTTATGAAGGAAATCCATCTAAATATGGATTATGAGACATGAATATTTGTATTACAGTTTTATAATCTATTCTAATCARCCTCTCTTACACGAACCAAGTTTGCACAGACTCGTTACCCAAGCTGGCTCATTTCGACCATAAGGCTGGGCAGGCCATCARTAGACAAGGGATATGGTCTTTTGAGGGCAAAAAGGTACTGAGGACTTTTGCTGGCACAGCTTCCACCCAGAGGAAGTGAGCAAACTAGCCCAGGTGC